GTCCCTGGCAAATACTTTTCTATTATAATTGGGAAAAAAATGTGTTAATTCTTTACCTTAGTCCAGAAGGCATGATACGCCTGCCTCTTCAGCTGTATCTGAGTACGTTCTTCTCACTTGCTTTCTGTACCTCAGTCATGCTGGACGTTTTTAAGATCTTTGAATCTGTTTCAAGCTTTCCTACCATAAGCCCTCATTATTTTTTGTTATCTCTCTACCAATAAACTTTAGTTCGTTGTTAGGGCCATCCTAGATGGTAATAATGCTCCTTTCTTCCTATCAAATGCCTGTATTAGCTGTAAATTATATTATTCTCTTGTCATTACATTTTTGCATCCTCTTTTTTTCAACTTTGCCCCAGTATGTTGGAAAAAAATCTTTCCTTAAACTGCCATCCCCCCCATCCTTTTCAACACACACATATACTTTTAGTTTCTCTCTTCATGTGTGTTACATGTGAAAACAAAACAAGAACATAGGTTCTGGAGTTAGACAGACTTGGGTTGGAATCATTTCCTAGCTTTATGACATTCAATAAATTACTTTGACCTCAGTGAGCACCAGTTTCTTCAGGTATAGAATGGGAGGAATAATGATCATATTTCTGTTTCTTATGAGGATTTAATGAAATTATATATGTTTCAAAGTATTTAACACAGTGCCTGGCAAATATTTTGTGAATAAATATTTGTCAAATGGAGGAAATAGTAAATAATGGCAAATGTATAATTTGCATATTGAATTTATGGGTAAAATTATATTATTCATATGATATTCACATACTACATATTACACATAGTATTTTCATTTTGGAGCTCTGGTGAAGTAGTGCCTAAGGCATTTGACTGCTAACTGGAAGACTGGCGGTTCAAACCCACCAGCCACCCCTTGGAAGGAAAATTGGGCAGTCTACTTCCGTAGTGATACTGCCTTGGAAACCCAAGGAGGGCTCACTGTGAGTTGGATCTGACTAGACAGCAGTGAGTTTTAGTGAGTATTTTCATTTTACAAATGAGGAAAATGAATCTAAATGGTGGTAAATAGCTTGCTTATGGAATCACACCTACAAAAGCTATTGAGCTTAGAAATGACCAGCTTTCCTCTAAAGCCTTTGCTTGTAACCTTGTAATAGCCATCCTTAACCTGTGTATCAATTAATACTGACTGATAAATCAACAATACCAATAGCAATTCACCTTTATTGAGATAGGAAAAGTTACATTTTTAAATAAATTAGATTTATTTTTTTAGTAGGTGATACATGCACATAATATAAAATTAAAAAGCTTTAAAAACTTTTGCAATGAAAAGTTAGTCTTCCTCTGCCCTTACCCTTTGCCACCCAGTTATTAAGGAGTCCTGGCAGGCATGACTAAGTGTTCAGCTGCTAACTGAAACGTTGGTGTTTCAAAACTACCAGCTGCTCCATGAGAGAAAGATGTGGCAGTCTGCTCTTGTAAGAATTTATTGCCTTGGAAGCCCTGTGGAACAGTTCTAGTGTGTCCTGTAGGGTTGCTGTGAGTTCCCGGAGCTTTCATTGTTAATCAGTTTTTTTTGGTGTCCTTCAGAGATAGTGTATAATTATGCAAACATATTTTATATACAGGTATGTAAACCTTAATGTCCATGATATGTTACAAAAATATGAAGTTATATGACTTGAACATTGTGCCAACACCATACTACCAAAACCTTAAGAGAGCTAGTTTCAGTTGTCCTTGTCACTGCTGCTGCTGCTGCTGGAACTTCTGTCAGAGGCTGGAAGAATGGGGTGGGCCAGTGGTGTGGCTGAGAGGGTGGTGGTAGGAGAGAAAGCAAGCCAGCAGAGGGTACAGTACACCCAGCCTTGCCCACTGTTCTGCCAAACTGAGCAGCAGGAGCAGCCTAGGCTCTGCAGCCCCCATCCTCACCACCTGCGCACCATACAAATCACAAGAGTCCTCATCCAGAGCCATGTCCTCTGCCTTACCTGCCTGTATCCCCACTGTGATCCAGTGCTATTCCCCCTGTGGTCCATTGCTGAAAGAGACTGGGTGTGGTGTCTTTAAAACCATTAGGGGTAATGACAAACTAGAGTACAGCTGCTTTCCTTTTTTAAACAAACAGACTTATGGGCCCATGGATGTATATGTGGTTGGACGTTGCCTGAATTGATGTTAAGCAAGGCGTACCTGTATTTATATTTACACACTTGTTCTTTTTTAACTCAAATGATAGCATATTACCAGCACAGTTCTGTACCTTACATTTTTAACTAAGAAGTTTTTGAAATTGTTAAATATGTCATGTTCTCTCTGAAAGCTCTAGGGATGATCATTTTTTTCTCTCTCCCAGCTTCTGGTGTAACCAGGCATTCTGTGGCTTGTGGCTGCAGCATAGCACTATCCTCACATAGCCTTTTTCCCTCTGTCTGTCTCTCTGTGTCTCTTTTATTTTATATGGAGTCATTGAGATTGTATCAGGATACATCCTACTCCAGCTTGACCTCATCCTTGGTTAGCTCTGTTAACATCTTCAATGGCATTGTTCCCAAAAATGGTCACCTTCACAGGTACCAGGGGTTAGGGCTTCACTATATCTTTTTGGAAGACACAATTAAATCCATAAAAATGCCAATTAAAAACAATTTTTTTTGTATTCCATTATATCAATATACATAATTTATAAACAATCTTATAATATTGGATAGGCATACTTACTCTTTTCAACATTTTATTATTAAAATATTTTAGTGACTATTCCCATACTCTCCTCATTTCATGCTTATTTCATGGTGGTCAGTGCCTGAATGTGTAATGTTTGGGTCAACCAAAAAACCAAACCTGTTGCCATCAAGTTGATTCCAGCTGGTAGCAGCAGTATGAGTTGGGTCAAAGGATGTGTTTTTTTTTAAGTTACTAAATATTGCCAGAATGCCCTCAGTAAAGGCTCTCACCAGTCTCCAATAAAAAGTGTTTCAGAATGCCACATTTTTGGACACCCTAAGTTTACTCTCATGAAAGTCCTAAAATCAGATATGAAAGCAGACAAAATACAGAATACCTTTAATTGTTGGAGACAATGTTTTAGTAATCTCCTATATGCCTTCCATAAACTATTTTACCTCTTTTCTTCATTGGCTTTTTTTTTCCTAAGCACTAAATTTCAGAAGTAATGATCCACTGCTAATTCAATGAAATTTTCTTCCTTCACGTTAGTAAAATATTATTTTCTTCTATTTTTCATTGCAGTTGCAGAATTAACTTAATTTTCCCTATTTTACACATGTATTCTGTATTTCTGATTCTACACTTATATTGATGCAATGCTGATTTTGTTTGTTTTATATTTGTTATTCTTTGTAATTTGCTTTTCTTTTGTTACTCTTTGTCATCTTGTTATTATTACTACACTCTTACTATAGAGGACATAGTACTTGTCATTTTGGAATAGTAATTCAGTTGAAAATTGCTAGTAAGTAATATTGATGGCAAAAGTCTTCTCATTTGAGGGTTTTATAAATATTGGTTAATTTTTAAGGTATTTAAAACAATTTTACTAAGAATTTTTTTTAAAATAAAGTATAATAGTGTGATATAAGAAATGTTATTAATCAGATCTGTTTTGAGTTAGTATAAAGTTTAGCTAAATATTTATAGGAATTTTGTTAACAGTTGATGGATATGAGGTATGCATCTCTTGTAGATCTTAATTCTTGGGTATAGTATAACTTTGTAAATGAAGTTTAAATCTCTTTTCTTATCACAATATGCATAAATATTTCTTGGTTTTAATCATCCAAATGCTAGTGACAATTTATACATCTAGCTAAGATCAGTTCTCTAAATTCTAGATTTGTATATCAACTCCTTAATTTATTTATAACCAATTGAATGTCTCAAAAGTGCCTGAAAATCCACAGATCCTGAATCAGGTACTGGAACATAAGCTCCCCAAAACACCGACTTTGACCCTTTTGTTCAGTGCTATATTCTCATTAATCAGAACAGTGTCTGGTTTGTAGTAGCACTGAATAAGTTTTTGTGGAATGTTTTTGTCAAATCATTGCATGATATTCCTTCCCAAACTTCGTATTTTTTTTGACTCCATCATCCCCTTGAATAAGCCATAAACTCACAAGTCCTTCTTAACACTTTTCTTTTTGGTTTACCCTCCCTTACAATCTAATACCAAAATTCTGTTAATTTTATTCTCCTAAGTAGTTCTCAAATATATATTTTTTTCTGTCTATTCCACCCTGCTCCCCATCAAGATGACCTTCCCTTACCTCTTAGATTAGGTCAGATCTCTTATGTATATCAAGTATGTTTCTTTCCTTTATGCATGTTACAGTTTATAGTTTGAGTGATTGTCTTCACCATCTATTTCCCCCTCACATTAGACTGAAAACTACATTAGGGCAGGGATGATTTCTGTTTTGGTTCAGTCTTACATTCCAGGAGCCTGACATACTATACGCATTTAATAAGTATTTTGTAATTAATACGTGAATGAATGGATTTCATTGGGTATGTGCTCTGTGAATGTTTTTACACTGACACTGTCGATATTAGCTATTATAGTTCTATAATTTCATTTAGCTCTAGATGAGTCAAATGTGCAAAAAGTAATACTATAAACTTTTGAGCCTTTTTTCTGTATTTCTGTTTTTGCTTGTGAAGCAAATTCATAATTCTGAAGAATAAAACTATAAGAAGTATCTAAATGTATACATATTATATAGAACAAAATATATTATACCAAATGATTCTTTATAAATATGACTATGTTGTTGTTGTTGTTAAGTGCCGTCGAGTCGTTTCCGACTCATAGCGACCCCATGCACAGCAGAACGAAACACTGCCCGATCCC